TTCCATCTATGTAATCAAATATAAAACATTGCTGATATGTTAATTGTAAATCAGAACATTATCTACAGCTTTGGACACTTATGATTTCAAATTGACTGTTTAAATACATTATGATGATTTGTACATGAATTATTAAAGTGAATTTAATTCATTATCTTGCTAATTTTCCTATAAGGGTTATCCCCATTAGATACTGATTTTTCTACATGTCCTATGTTTGAGTATGCGCAAGGCGCCAGTTGTGATTTCTGATCTGAAATGCAGAGTTACAAAAACTTGCTCTTCGACTTTATCATTTTATTGGATCTTTGCATCCAGAAAACGTAACACTATACCACATTTATTGTAGTTCCACATGTGAACTACCCTCATGAATTGAAATTTTTTTATTGCCCAAACTTTCATCTGTTTATTTAGAACAACAACAACGCCTTGCATATTGAAAATTATTTAGAGTTACATCCGGAGTGAATTGCTGAAATTTTATATTTTGCAAATATTTTGAAAGTATTTATGAACTTAGTTAATTGTTTATTGTTTACTATCACACTCATCATCATGTCAAACTACAAGGAAACACACTTAATACAGAAAGAGGAAATATCCGTCACACAGACAGAAGTTAGGAATATTGTAGATGCTTTATTAACGATGAAAACAAAGCCCAAAGCCGTCACTCTACAAGATTTTTTTTGCAGTGGATAGAATCCATGAGCAAGTTAACTGAAGTGAAAATGGAGCCCCATAATGCTAGTGATACCACAGCAGAATCAAAATCAGTTGTAAATATCCATTATCCAAAGATATCATTCTTCTCTGGAAACGCCAAGAAAAACCAGAAGTCATACATCACGCTTTTAGACGTTCTCTGAGGGGAAAGGCAAGTCGAGTTATTGTGATGCATATTGGCCCAAGAGCTTCCATCGCTACCATTATCAATAAAATTGACAGTATATATGGAACAGTGTCTGAAAGAGAAGATATATTGGCAGAGTTTTATAGTGCTCATGATAAAGAGGATGAAGAATGTGGCAGATGGAGGTGTCGTTTGGAAGATATCATCAGTAAAGCACAACAGATAGGCCTAGTTGGTTATCTAGAATCACAAGAAATGCTGCGTACAATGTTTTCTAAAGGACTAGGCCCAACATTGAAGGACATTTGTGGTCATTTATATGACAAATGTCTTACATTTGACAAATTGATATCAGCGGTCAGGAAGGTGGAATTAATGCATCAGCCGCCAAGTGAAAACAAAAAGCTGGCAACAGCAAAGTTTGCAGTTCTTGCAGATTCATCAACAAAGAGCTTTAAAACTCTTTAAGCCCAGATTCAACAACTGACTTGTGAAGTTAGGGGAATGAAGCAGTAATATACAGATTAGTTAGAATAATCTAACTGTGTCTCGGGACAAGCCCTCACCACCGGGTCCGTAGGACAATATCATTTTAACGATAGAACGTTCTATCTATATACAGATCAACAAGACAACCCTTCCAGCGAAGAGGATAACAAAGAAACTATTGAGAAAATTCCTCTCAGGCAGTTAGATGCCACAGTCAGATGTTGTTTGAGACACACCTAGGTATAAGTATGAGTAAGAAGTTCGTACGTGTTATAAATGTGGACAGAAGGGTCATATAGCCATTGGATGCCGTGTACGTATGGATCATAGAAGGGCTCATTTAAACTTCAAGAAGCCAGCGTCTGGGGACAAGGGGTTGGCAATAGAACAAGGAGTCCCAAAGTTCCAATAATTGCATCATCAAATGAAATAAGAGTGTCCATCCATGATATATCATGTACAGTGTAACATTATTAAAGCACAATTAAATGAAATAAGAATAATTTTATGTACGATCTATTAATATAAGTTTTGTCTCGTTCTGGAATAATCTCGTTCTGGAATAAATTAAGAAACCACTCAACATGTAGTTCTACTTTTAACTGTTTAATGACTCTTATACCCACGGTCTAATAATGAAACATGGTGTCAAAAGTGAGTAAAATTCTTGATTGACTGACCATTACGCGAAAGCGAACAGTAAGACAATCTGAGAAAATTTCCATTGTGCATCAATGTATTAGAAATATTCCCCACCATCCACCCTCCAAAGACAGCTTTTATATACAATTTGTCCTTGTGATTGAACAGACTGTTGAATGTTTATTTGGAAATTTGCATAATGTAAGTTTTGTTTCAAAGTTCGATAACTCAAATTATGTCCCTTTGAACAACGTAGACAAAACGATCATTGATTTCTGCTTTATATTATGTAAATGTTTAAGCAATGCTAACGAGTAACAGGCTTGTGTACTATATATAAGACGTTAGAGAGATATCCACAAATGACCATGTGTTAGTCAGAGTAAATAACGGTGACAGGTAATGTCGCGTGTAAAGGACTTCGTGTGAGCTTATCTCACTAAACAAGTACTGCTAAGCAGTATTGAAAAGCGTCTTTGATTGTTCCACAATGTCATCGGAGCTTTGTTTGAGTCTCAAAATATTCACTCGTCAGTCAAACAGGAAAGTTTATATTTTTTTTCACTGTTTTGCCTAATAATAAAAATTGACCAAGTATGTTTTAATTAGACAGTACATCAAGCATTACAATGCAATGTAATGTAGGACAGTTATATTTTTATTTAAAAGCAAAATTAATTAGCTTGCAATTAAAGAACTTCACTCGACACTTCAATTTTCCTCGGGATGTTTCGCATATATCCATATTAGTCTTTCAATAAAAAAAAAAAATCAGCAAAAGTAACTGTTCTTTGATAACTTAGCTCTAAGTACTGTTATCAGAATATATTCTGTTTATCCTTCCTGGTGCTTATCTGCATCACTCTCAAAATTAACACTCACCAGTCAAACACGAGATTTCTGTTTTTCAATCTTTCATATACCCAAACTAGGCATTGCATGAAATAATAAACAGCAATAAAAAAGTTTGTTGAAAAATCCTTCAACATTATTACTGCATTGTTAATTTAGATTCGTATGAAAGAGAACAATTATATAAGAAAATGTGAATGAAAATATTCCATCCAGTCTGGTTTTTTAAAAACTTTTTTTAAAAATAAAAATATATTAGAAAATATGTTAATTTACACCTTATTTTCAATACCATAATCTAAAACAAAAATGAACTTCATTTTATTAATTGACATTGCATTGTAGTGCAGTGCAATAAAATGCAGTTCAATTCTTATTATGGTAAACAGTATAAATTCTCTTGCAAACAAAAAAAAAATCCACTCATCAGTCAAAAAGGAGTGTTCATTTCTTTTGGATCTTTTGCGCATACTCAAACTAGTCATTCGATAAAAAAAAAAAAATCCAGTAACACGTAACTTTGCGAAAGTCCTTCAACTTAGTTACTGATTGTTAATTTTGATTCATATCAAAGAAAACAAATATTTAAGAATATGAGAATAAAAGAAATGCTCTCTAGTCTTTTTTTGAAACCCTTTTTCAAAGCATAAAATGTTAAAAAAAAAAAAAGTGTGTGTATTCAATCAGTTTTTAAATTCAATTAAGAAAAAAAATTGACCAGGTTAATTTTGATTGGACAATTTGGCAGGCATCACAATGTATCGCATTGTATTGCAGCAGAGTTCAGTGTGGTGCAATTCTACTTGTATTTAAACAAGCACAATTATTTTACTTGTCAATTCTGTATTAGAAATATTCCCCACCATCCACCCTCCAAAGACAGCTTTTATATACAATTTGTCCTTGTGATTGAATGTTTATTTGGAAATTTGCATAATGTAAGTTTTGTTTCAAAGTTCGATAACTCAAATTATGTCCCTTTGAACAACGTAGACAAAACAATCATTGATTTCTGCTTTATATTATGTAAATGTTCAATGCTAACGAGTAACAGGCTTGTATACTATACACTAGACAAAATTGCTAACGCATCACCAAAAAAATTAATATTTTTCTTTTCAAAACTTGTTTATGATGTTTTTGATATACAATTACGTTACTTTAATAAAAAAAAAAAACGAGGCATTCAAATGTCTTAACTGATCAATAGCAACAATGTTTACTGAAGTGTAACCATTTCATAGAAAAAATTAAAATCATGTCCATACTTTTTTGGTGGAATAAATTTCTACTTTTTTCTTTTTGGTTGTGTTCTTTATGTTTGTACTAATTAAAAACTAAGAAAAAAGTTACACCCTATGCGGCGTTTCACTCTAGAAGAGCGTGCTAAGGCAGTCAGTATGGTGTCTGCAGAGGGTTCCTTTGGAGAAATTTGTGAAAAATTAAAACAATTGAAAGATTATGCATTTCTCTGATGAAAAATTGTTGAAAATGAATTTACAATCATAAAAATGTTTACAATCGATACCAACGGCATTAAGTAAGCAGCACACAATAACTTTAAGATTGTTCCACAAATTTTTGGCAACCGGAAGTTGGGTGGATTTGGTAAGGACACCAAGACACTGAATGACTACTAAGTGATATGGTAGTCAGTCAGGGTATATAATTTGATTTTTAAGTGGGAGACTGCTCCCGTCGCAACCTCACGGTTTTTTCTAATCGAAAAAAAATAACAAATAGATTTTTTTTTTAAATTTCATTTTCATTGTCAATCCAATATTTTAATAGAGATTTTGAAAAAAAAATTCCATAAATATACATTTTTCGATCATTTCAGATCTATGCCAAAAATATATAAATTAAATATTTTTCCTTTGTACTGAATGACAGGAAAATACAAAATTACCCAAAAATCTGAGTCAAAATGAAAAATGGAGGCATTGATATACACATGTATGGAAACACTTAGGAGTGCTTTTTGCTATGAAGTTTAAATTTACATTCTCATGATAAAAGTTCCAATAAAGTTGTATCATATGAAGCTAAATTTAGCAAATTTACTCCCAAATGGACGGATTTAGTGAATATTTAACAAAGAAAAACTATACAAAAATATTGAAACTTACAATACTAAACAAAAAAATTCACAAGGGAAAAAAAATATCTTCTTACACATTACAAATTGTAACCTCATAGTATAATGTATAAAATCTGATATTCTGGCTACAGCACTTTAAACCCAAATCAAAATATCACAAAAACTAACCATATTAAAACAATAAAGTAAACCTGACGAATCAGATTATAAAGCTACAGTGTATTTAGCTCATACATTTTTTTTTGAAAACAACTTTATCAGTGCGTAGAGAATTTCATAGAATGGATGAAATCTGCAGATAGAACCTAAAAATGACACCCATTTGCTTGTGTCCATCTTTAAAATGTCAAAGTCTCATTAATCTCTTGGTCAGAAAATAAATCTCCTTGGAATTATATTTTGCATCATAATCTGATTTTGGATATACTGAATGAATCTGCATGGAACAGTCTCTTGCTTTATTAAAACATACGTCAAAAAAAAGAAAAAAGTCTTATTGGCACATATACATGAGCATTATACATGAAGTCTCATAATGCTAAATAAATGCTTTCAATCCTAATATCAAATTTTACCATTGACTTTAAAATCTAAAATCTATCTAAAGCTGCTAAAACTATCACTTTCATTATCCTCGTCATCGCCTTCATTGCCATCATTGTTGCTTTCATCAGCATTTTTATGAGATACTTTAACATTTCTTTGATTCTGTATTTTACTGTGAATCTTATGACTACTTATCTCAGTATCTGAGTCACTAGTAATACGCCGATGCTTATCTCCATGACGATGACCTCTGTGACCCTTGGTATAAGATTCTAAGCTTTCCAAAGATACCTCAATACCTTCATCAACACTTTCTACTTTATGTTTCCTTGCTCTCTGAAAATTCAAAATACAATTTATTTAATGATTTCTTCTTGTCCATAGACATAAATTGATAACATGTTTCTAATAGATTTTCTTTGTTAAAAATAAAATGTCTTTGAAAGAATTTTCAAACCAGTAATTATTGATAAAATGGAAACACAAGTTACTTTACAGTTTACATTCAACTTTACTTCTAATGTTTTCTTTAAAATATCATGTTTAATTCATAAAGTAAGGCTGCATAATCAAATAAGTGAAATAACCTGAAAAATAATATATTGTATGCACACTAATTTTTGTCACACAGTTTATGAACTATAAATAACAATGGCAGCCTATCCCCAAATCAAACAATCCCTAGGATAGCGGTAGTTGGTAAAAAATTCTTAATCTCACTCAAAGGCAATATTTCACACCAGTAAAAATTTGTATTTTGATGTCTTGTAGATCTAAAATTTCAAGATCTCTCATTTTCCTACTCACATCAAGAATTTTACTGGTATTTGAGGGAACGCATAAAATTGCCATTACTACCTTAGTTCCATAAAATGAAATACATGCAAGAATACAGAAAATAAATCAAGCAAGTTTTACAAAAAGGAAGCAAATCTCATTAATATTTATTCAGAAAACAAAAAATCTGAGAAGTTACGATCATTCAGATAATTTTTGACATACTCTACAAAGTGCTCGCAAAAAGTCAACACAGCTGCACAATTTTGGACAAGCCTGTAATACACAAATAGACTATGGAGTCAGAGAACAGTACTGCTGAAGACAGCCAATCAAAAATTACATTTCTCCGGCAAAGTGACAACAAATTGCTCTAGTAAAAGAATGGGAGATATTTTGCAGATGCTCAACAACACATATGAAACAATGTAGCAATGATGGAATGGAACTTCATATTGAATTAAGATTTGTTTTTCATTGAAGACTTGTATTCAACAATTATGAAAAGAAGGAGAGCAGTTTATGCTGCAACATACCTTTCTGTCACATAGAGTTTCCCAAAATTTCTTACAACTGTAATGGACACAGCCGTCACCATGAATGTAGTCCTACAAATAATTTGCTTTAAAATTTCTTTAAAATCTGTGCTTTCATTTGGCAGGTAAATTTTCTTCTTTTTTGTTTTACAAAATCAATTATATAGGACAATTTCATTTTATCATTTCAACATACCTCATAGCAGGAAAAGTTCATAAGAAAGTCCTCAGAATTGAAAAAGCCAAAAACTCTCTGTATGAGGAAATGCAATTTTAAATTCTACTTTAATTTCAAACATTTATAATGGGAACTTTAAGTTCATAAAATATTTAAATACTTAGACTTGACTTTAAGCATATTTTATCTGAGGAAATCAGATTTGGTAAATTAAGACTGACCCAGATTTTGTAATATGTTACATTGTAATATCTTTTGTACCTCATGACAGGAGTACACACCGTCCTCTGATCCACACCGAATCTCACAAAACTTGCAATAGTACAGCTACCAAAAGGATGAGGAGAATATATAAGTTGTAAACTTAATTTGAAATTTAAAAAAAAATCTTAATCTCAAAACATGGGAGATAAAGTATATAAGATACATCTTTGTCAAATATCTCAAATGTCGATCTTCTAATCTTTTGAAAAAAGCATAACTTAATGATTGTGCTTTCTTACAGTATTGGTTATGAGCAGGTTTCTCCCAACACTCTATCAAATATGTGATGAAAGTTTGATTTCCACAGTGAGATGAGAGAAATGCTTATTCACTGCTCAACAACCTTCTTTAATCCCAACAGAAATAGCTGAGAAAAACAAATAGTTCTTGTCTTCTTCAAAATAAAATACAGGAAACAATTGCTAAAATTACCATGACAATTGGATGGCTGACTTTTCACAAAGAATTTAAAAGTAGTAGACAAAGAATTCTCCCACACATTATTGAAAAACCACCACTCTATATATTCATACAGAAGAATCAACAGCTAGATATATGATAATACATGTACCCACTGTCCAGTACAAGAAGGAACCTTATTTGTACATGTATATTGAGCCATGGATTGAGTAAAAGTCCTAGGTATCAATCATAAATTGAATCTAATTTTCTAAAGTTAAACTAGATCCAAACATTTCAGGAGACAACACTTCAAAGTCATGCTGAATGCCCACATTTTTCCTATAAAGTATAACTCAGTGGACAGGTGGACAGGAGAAAAGAAAGTATGAAAACTAAGACTTAATCATGCAGGATTGCAAATTCCCACAACCATGCTTCTCAAGGAAAAGGAATAGTGAATACAAATTTTGATGAAAACTTTCTCCCATAGCTACAGGTAAGAGCAAAGAATGCATGCACATTGCTTGAAAGGTTCTAAGGAAAAAGGGAGGAAAGTAATTTTAATCCCTCTCAATGCTTACAAGGTACCCAAGATTAATGGAATAAAATAACACTCTAGGTAAGAAATTATCAAACATTTGTTGCTATGAAGACAGATCTATATATGTACCTGACATATTCATGCAGGATACATGGACATTCCTCATGCAAAGTCCAAACCAGAATAAGATTGCATTTACCAATATTTGGTTTCAGTTTTTCTGTATCACTGGATTTGATTGGATTGTTTCTCTGAGTCACCTTCTTTGGGGTTTTTTGATTGGATTGAATGGTGCTTGATTCAACAGAAGATGACTGAATTGGTGGTAACTGAACACCAGGTCTAGGGTTTTCTCCCAATACAAGCTTTTTTGGCATTTTCGTTGACTCATTAATTTGGTTTACTTTTTTCTTTCTTAGTTTCTTCTTGGGTCTGGTTTCTTTTTCTGGATTTTCTTCAAGATGCTGTGTTTTGTCATCTGTTACAGTAAGGGGCTTTTTCTGGTTGATTTTTCTCCCTTTTGCCTCAACATTACTGAACTTTTCTCCACTTTCTAAATCTTTTGGTTCCAGTGAAACCTTGATTTTTTCTCTCTTGTTTTGCAATTGCTTTGATTCAGAATTCTTGATCCCCCGACTTTGTAAACTCCCTCCACATTCCATAAAAGAATCATCAAATGCCCTGTTAACTTGTACCTGAGTTCTCACAACATGAGATGAAGATGGAATAAAAAGTTTTTCTTGACCTACATTGGGGGCTGGGGTAAGTGATGCATTTCTGTGGGTATTAAGCTGAGGAGTATTAGGTAGTGGTTTGGTAAGCTGTTGGGTAAAGGAACCCATACTTGGTTGACGTATCTTTATTTCAATACAACAACAGCTGACAGCCTCACACTGTGGACAGGAGAAATCACAGTGGCATGAATTGCATGAACCTATGGAACTCTGGAAAAAATTACAGTGGATAGGTATTACATGTAGAACTAGGGTATTTCCTAATTTCTAACTGCACTTCTGAAAGTTCACTATTGGATAATACATGGTTTAATATCATAGTCTGCTGCAAAATTCTCTGGAACTGAATATCATTCATCTGTTACATTTTATTAATGTGTATCTGAAAATTAACTGTGATAAACATTTTTGTATGTCTTTTTCACACTGATTTACAGAAACAATATATTGCATGGAAAGATCTACAGCAGTTCTACTGTTAAGAGTATTCTTTTTGATTTTTTAAGACATCTGATAAATATTTAACAGACTTTGTTTTTTTTTTAAAAAAACAACAAGCAAATTTAAAAAATTGTGATCCCCGCTTTTAATATCTTATCTGTTGGGATGCAATTATCAATGCCGAATGGCATTTTGTAATTATCTTGTTTGTCTGTTCACCACATAAAATAGATATAATTTTGTATTTAATAAAAGTTATGGCAAAGATTAAAGTTTCTCAAAACTGCATCAAACTTCAAAGTCATGAGGTCAATTATCATAATATAATTCAAAAGCTCTTGTCACAATTAAGTAATGCACATTTGGAAAAAATATGAAAGCCCTGTCTCTTTTGGGGCAAAAGTCATGGCCAAAGTTAAATTTTTTTATAATTCAAACTTCTAGGTCAAGGTCATGAAGTGAAAATTGATATCTCTTTCTGAAAGGTGTTGTCATAGATAATATGTAAAATATGAAAGCCCGGTCTTCTCTCAATCAAAAGTTATTATGTCAAATTTTTTTGAAAAAGACTTTAGGTTTAACTTTATGGATACAGTCAGGAGGTCAAAAACCAGAGTAAATTCAGAAAGGTATTGAAACAGGTAATGCACATGTCAAACATAAAAGATAATCCTCTCTCATTCCAAAGTTATCACCAATGTTAATTTTTTTTTTTTGAAAATTAGGTAAACTTCAAGGTCATGGGGTAAAAAATCATACCATGTGCGAAAACGTCTTGTCACAGATTATGCACACGTCAAATATGAAAGCCCTATCTTCTCTCATTCAAAAGTTATTACCAATGTTAAAATATTTAAAAAGTAGGTCAAGCTTTCAAGGTCATGGGGTCATAAATGGTAGCAGGTTCAGAAACGTCTTGCCACAAGTAATGTACATGTCTAATATGAAAACCCTATCTTCTCTCATTCAAAAGTTATAATCAACATTGAAATTTTTAAAAATTACATCAAATTTGAAGGTCAACGTCATGGGTCAAAAACTGTAGTATATTTTGAAAAGTTTTGTCACAGTTAATGTACATGTGAAATACGAAAACTCTATCTCTTCTTGTTTAAAAGTTATGACAAATTTTAAAATAATGTTAATATTTCTGAATAGTTGGTCAAACTTTACGGTCAAGGGTCAAAAATCATAGTATATTTTTGGAAAGGTCTTGTCACAACTTATATACATGTGAAATATGAATACCCTACCTTTTCTCATTCAAAAGTTATAACCAAGGGACTGTCAGTTGATTGAGATTTAATGTCCCTTTGTTTTCATGAAAGCAGGGGGACAAAAACAGAGAAATGAAAAGGAATGTATGTAGATATCATTTTGACTGGTACAGAGTTTTGCTATTTTCATATCATTAACCTTCTTGGGACCTAGCTAGCCATGCTATTAAAATAAGATTAGTATCTCCACAACAAATAATTATGATTACAACATTCATGCAGCTACTTGTCTAATCTAGCAAAGTGAGCTAAAAGACATTATATAGTGCATAATTTGGCAAGAAAGTACAGCATAGAGTTATATTTGGTTGATTTATCCTCTTTTCATGTTTTTACATCAAACTGAATATGGAAAGAAAATAATTCCCATTCCACTTCATTTTTTGCTTTTAACCCTTACATTTTCCCCAAGATATTAGATATATAAAATTAAATTTAAGGTTTGTTCTGCAAATATCTTGCCCCCCATTTTATGTCTTCTTTTTTTTAAGCTCTCATCCTTATAAAAGAAAATGAAAACTTTGCTAAGAATGAAAATTATTTTGTCATTTTAAAGATATACCAACTTGTATGTTTACATGATTATGAATGAATTTTCATATGTTATAAATTTTGCATGGAAAAATATTTTTAAAAATTCAGATTCCTGGACTTTTATTTTAATTACTGACCCTTTAAACAAGTTATGTGAAGAAGTTGACTAGTTTAGAGGATACATATCAAGTGTTTAGGTGAGTAGGAGTGAAAAAAAATCATAAAAGCAGATACAAGTGAAAGGTTAGTTCTACACACCATACTTACTTTTACACATAAACAACTAGGAGGTCAAAGGTCACGTTGGATTGTTTTGTGATTGGAGGGTACCACACTGATTGCACCACTGGTACAGCAAAAAACAAATTGTTTCATTTTTGTTTAGTTTTTTTCCCCCCACAAATGAGCAACAGACAACCAGTTTGCATAAAAACAACAAATATCTTAAGACTGCATGTGCATCATTTTCAAAAGTTCAGCTAAGTATATCCTAAACATGCTTAAACCTAATAACTGAGCTCACTGCAATGAATTGGTTAGTTTCACTTTTTTAATAAGTTCAGAATTCATCAGCATGCACCTTGATATGTAATTTTTTTTGGCATACAATATGAACCCCTTTATTCCATTTTCTTATCTCTTCAAACTCTCATGCAAAGTATATAACTACACTCTCTTGTTCGTTAAAATTATAATAATTAGAATCATCATTTATCATTGCTCATGTATTTACAGTCAAAATATTTACTTGATACTTACATTTGTAAAGCAATTATTTTCTCCTAAACAGCACTGACAGAGCAAAATATCCAGGCAAGTAAGCTTTGGGAAAAAAAAGGATTCAAGTAATCTCATACAACACGAAAATGTATTGAATAATTTAAATTGTCATGTTAAAGCAGTAAACTATTTCTCTTAAAAATTACTCTCCAATTGCATTCGCTTACCTTTTTATTTGGACAACAATTATTAAGACAGCTATTCACAGAAGGAGCACTACATCCACACGACTCTGAACAGCTGATACAACAATCAGAACACTGCGGGGCACCCTCTTTTCCACACATTCCACACTCCACATCTTGGCACTTTCCTTGTCTCTTTAAATGAATAATAATAATAAAAAAAAAAACATTGCCATGTCAGTATTATTACTTCTGTGAGAAAATAAGCAATCATTGTTCTTCCACTTATCAAATTTAATACTCACCACACACATGTATCGGATGAACACAATGATAAAGATTAAGGCTGTGTACCCAAAAACTGCAAGGCAGATAACTCCTGCCAATGGCAGCTCAGAAGAGGAGGAGTTGCCCATACTTTAGACTACCTATAAATATATGAATGAAAGTGAAATGATACTGTCAATATGATAGATACAACAACAGTAGCTCTTTTTAATGCTAAATGAGTAAAAAGGTGAGGTTATAGCAATGCATACTGTCTTAAATAATTGAGGAATAGCAAAACATAGCTATAGAGCTAGCTGGTGTAATGCTTTGTCTTTCAAAAACAGACAAAACCTGATTGTATTCAATGAAAGAAAAGCTTTATTATGTCTAATTTTAGTACAATGGTGCATAAGCTCAAACAAATAAGTTTATAGTAACAACCTTTTTATACCTAAAGATTGCCTATCTAGACTACACACAGGAAAATTACCCAAAATCACGGAAGCTCAAAACTAGGGACCTATATACTATAGTATATAGGTCCCTGTTAAAACAAGCATACAAAAAATAAAGCGGGAATAATATCATCACATATTGCATGTATCAACACATAAAACGTCATTGAGGAGACTTTCTTTCTTTCGAATAAGTTTTAAGTGCAAGCAAAGAGCAAGTATGACAAAATGAAACTTTTTAATTCATGTCTGGTATTAGAGATTTACATACAACATTAGTATGTCGTATATTATAGCTCTAATGGTATCTCCATGTATTTTTCTGCACTGCTAAATGCCATCATATGAATGACCAATATATATAACTCCATTGAATTGAGTGAAAATAATAATTACATTCTCATATAGCATGATGCGCTATAAAATTTCTGAAATCATGACAGTTCTCGCCAACAATCATCAAAAAATGTCAAACGACAGCAAGACAGATCCTGTACACTCCAATCACGTGATATCAACACTACCAACATTTGGATTGTTGATGTCGTAAATGCAAATCCAAGTTAAGGTAGCGTTTTAATCATGACATGTTCAAAATTACAACAATGAGTAAAGTCGCACTAGGTAGTTCATGTGTGATAAAATAAATATCTCATTATTTAGACTTGTGAATTATTTCGATCACTTAATTTTTCTAAATTTCGCATTTTAATTGGAATTTCAAGCTTTTGTGTAACACAGATGATCACTAGACGGCGCTGTTAAAGCTTCCTTAGCATTCCTTCATCCTCAGGAGTGAGATCAACATGTTTAAAGTGAAAATTCTCGTTGTAGGACCTTGTATGGTAATTATGTATAGCCATATCAAAGAAAAATTACATCGCTCTATTTTTTCTTTTATCAACATGACTGGCAAGATTTTTTTTTTACTCTTAATAGATTTAGATATTTTTGTACTATATATGAAACATAACACTTAACAACAATTAAGTTGTAATTAGAGTCGGAATTTACAAGAAACATTTTATGATATTTTATATACATATACAATGTGATATGACATGTATAATTATACAAAGATTGCTGAAATCATGTACATCACCAGGTCCAGCACAATCTCTTGATTAAGCTACCGGTTTTCGATAGTGTAAAACTTTAGTCACAAATTTAATCTGTGCATATATGTTTTTCTCACCTTAACTATTTATGTGTCATTAGTCAACAATACATAAATATATCTGACCTTAATTTGTTTTTGAAATCATAAGAATTCCAGTACTGTTACAACTTTCTTTGGATCCGCCATAATCCGAGTTGTTTTGAATGACGTCACCTATTTTCGATAGCAAGTATGGCGCACAGTAATTGGCATAAAAACATAAAATTAAATTAATATGTTGTGGTTTTTTTGTTTTGTTTTGTTCGTTTGTTTGTTTGTTTATTTATTTTTTTAACGATCTTAACAAAAATAAATAATAATTAACCAAAACATTTAATAGAATTTCTTCAATTTTTTTTTTTTTTTTGAAATTTTATGAAATTGAAAATTCAAGTCAGGAATCATTGACTGAAATAAAAATGTCAAACACAATGAGGGCATTTGATTTGTGTGTCTCTTCTGATTACTTTTTCCTTCACACAGTAGGACAGGTGCACCCAGTGTCCACATTGGCATTGTCCCCACCTAACAAACTCAATGTAAGGCTTAAACTTCAATTGTTCAGGCTCCAGTCTATCACAGACGCAACACTTTTCCTCATCAGCTAATGACTCCTCATCTGACAAATCAACTGATGGACGTGAAGTATTTGAAACCTTGGACGGACCTGCTGTATCTTTAGAAGGACCTGCAATTTGGTTTTCCACTAGCTTTGCATTCCCTTTTCCTTTTCCCTTCCCTTTTCCTTTTGTTGAGTGTTCCGACTTTTCATTGTATGCCTGAATTTTATCAAATACATTCTTTTCTGTTATGGCTTTCCCTGCAATTATGGAATTGAGATTTCTTCTTGGTTTTTTTTGCCTTCTCTACAGCTAAGAGGACCTCTCCACCACGCTTGTTGAAAAAGCTTTCAGCAGTAGAATTAACTTTTTCATCAGAGATAACAGTAGCTGTTGTTGAAGTTTTGGTGATGTCTACCTTGCCTTTGTATACAAGAGATGGTAAAGTCCTGCTTTCACTAATTGTTGATGAATTCAGAGGATAAATACCAGTTTTCCTGAAGGCTGATCTTAAATTCTGAGGACTAAGGGCAGTGTCGTAAACTTTGCATACAAGCCTGCACACGTCATACCTTGTCACTGAACGACCGACACTCTGTCGCATAAATTTATGAGCTTCTTGCTGATAAAGAGTCTCGAATGGACCAAAACAGCCAACGTCCATCGGCTGTAAAAGACGACTCGTGTGAGGAGGCAAGACAAAAAGAATGATGTTGTTTTCACGGGCCCACTGGATTAATGAAAGAGATGTATGGCTTCTGTGACCATCATACAAAAGCAAAATCGGCTGACCGGGGTTCCCAGAGGCATATCTGGTAAAATGATTCTTGACATAGTTATTGAAAATTTCAGTATTTGAATAGCCTGTGTCACTCATGGTCCCATCACAGCCAGTGGTGGCACCATCTAATAATTCAGGTAACAAACGTTTACCTGGAAACACCAGAAATGGAGGAATACTGCACCCCACAGCGTTTCCACATCCAATAACAGTAATTGTTTGGGACCTCTCAGATGTTACAACTTGTGCTGCCATCCCTTTTGCTGCAACAATGTTTGGAGGCTTTGACCCACCTGTGTTTATTCCCTTTTCATCAACATTAAATATAAGTTGAGGCTTATCCCCCAGTCCATACCTGTCAATGATGATTTTTAGCTCTTCAAAGTACTTGCTAATACATTCCGGAGATGCGGCTTTTGCTCGTAGTTCTGATAACCCTGATGGTTTTACTGCATGAAGCTCAGGCCACCTCCTCATGAAGTTATAATACCACTTCATTGTTAAGTCCTTCCCCTTTTCCCTAATACAGAGATCTACAGCATAGTCAGAGGCAAGGTTCAGCACCTCTGCACGGGTATATCCATGTCCTATCTCAGACATTGTCTTCACATGCTCCACTATGTAAGATTCCTGTTCCTGAGTAAACAGTGGTGGAGGTCCTGATGATGCTACATCAATACTTATCCGTCCATCCACCCTGTCTCTTAAAGTTGTCAGGGGAACTTGAAACCGTTTGGCAGCACCATGAACACTCATCCCCCCTTTTACTGCTTGGAAAGCATTATCCAAAGCCTCTGGACTATAGTTCTTGTAATTTCCCCTTTGAATGGAAAATATCTACAAGGAAACAAACAATAAAGCAACAGAAACAAAATCTTGAAACATAGAAAAATCTCGAAATTTAAAATAAAATACATGTAACGGGCTTCCATACTTTTTTTTTAAAGCGGAAGTTTGCTCAAAGTGAGGCTTATCTATTTTTAGACCATAACGCAGAGCTTTTAAACAGACGACAACTTAGGGTGATCAGATGTTGTTTTCAGGCTTAGATGATAAGGTATTTAGGGTGGATTTTTTTGCATTATGTAAAAAGGGCGTGATTTGAATAGATAAAGAGAGAAATAATATCTTACCTCTCTAAATGGCATAATTTTCGATCTTTTTGGGTTTTTTAAACACTCTACGTCTGATGCTAATTTTAGGAGAAGCGTTCCGAAAAATACGTCAGGATTTCCGAATGATTGTTATAAAAAGTAGCCTATCCAAATTAGGATACTATCGAAAATAGGTAACGGCACGATAGCTTGATTTAGCTATATAGCTTTATTAAGCTATTCAGAATAGCTTGATTTAGCTATTTTATCACACTTTTTTCTCAAATGTGTTATTTTCCAAGTATGCACAAAAAGTCGCACCTTGGTGCAGTGATGATATTCAACCTTGAACTCTTATGAAAATAATGCATGTAAAAACCACTCATCAAATTGCGTCTCCTTAAGAGACTTTGTACTCAAAGTTCTGAAAGTTTTGGGGCTATATAAAGCAATTGATACAGTTACTTCTTCAATGAAATTATAAAGGAGGCCAATTATGGTCAACAAGATAATTGACTGGTAATAATTCAGTACAATATGAGAAGCAGTCATACTTATCCACGCCTCAACTCACACAAGGTAGTGTACAGTTACCCGAACAATGGAAATTCATCTTTTGCTTAAGGTAGTCTGATCCTCAGGTTCTTAAAATCAGCTTTTAAGTAATTGAAAATGCGCACAAAAATGTCTCTGATTTCACATAGTAACATGAATTTACCCATGGAATTTCTTCAAAGTTTATCATTATAGTTAATCATTTTATATAGGGAAAATTATCAAATCTCAAGTATTTTTTGAGGAAATGCGAATAAAAACACCAGCTATGCATTTTCTAATTGAAAATTGATCAACAAATATAATTAAGGATAGAAAAATATAGGTATCCAGGCATTTGAAAAAAATTGCATCTTTTTTATGCTTGTACAGTATTTTAGTTCTTTTTACTTCAATTGTCATATATAATACATAGTGTAAAAAAGCTTGTGCTATCATTGCTAGACATCACATATCACATCTTATTTCATATCATGCTAGTAAGCAGTGGTATCTAATGCTAGACTAAAGGAAATTCAATTTCTCTAAAAATTTTTCTCTTTTATGGGGTTCAAATGTAAACTTTTTACAAGACCGTTCATGACTTCAAAGAACCTTGAATCATATTAAGATGCATAAAATGAAAATTGTTGCATGAAAAGGTCTCAATTTCAAGCTTCATTTTGAGACTTTTTAAATGAAATGATAAATTTAAGAGTTATCCTTCCTGGCTGAGGATCGGATATCCTTAAAAGTATTCAAATGCTGCAATGTTAGAACTATCTTTGATTTGGGTTGTTGATTTGATAACCCATATTACATATATGAATAGTCAAATACTTGCGACTTTTTGTCTATTTTGTACAAATAACATTTTTGCGAAAACCTGCATATAAATAGCTTTATCAAGCTATTTTGAATAGCTTAATAAAGCTATATAGCTATTTCAAGCTATATAGCTTAATCAAGAGATTGTGCCGGACCTGATCACAGTACAGTCATGTGTATATTATGACTACAATTCATGCAACGTTACAGTTACAACCACTTCAATTCATTTAGCCAGACTCCAATCACCGTTTCTACTTATTAATATAAAGGAATGAGGTAGTCAGGGCAAAATATTGGTCATAGCTTTCAACCATGTACCATTTACTCCTCTATTTTATCTGGTAATAATTTAATTCTGGTTGTAACACACTTTTTGATTGGCTGAAAAATTAGTTTATACTGCATAACCTGGGTTGCCTATGTCACAATAACTTGCATCAAAAATATATCAATCCACTTGACGTTACATTTAAATTTTGTACAATTTAATGTCAAATTTGAGGTGAAATTGTCTTTTTTTCCTACACTTAATGAT